TCAAGAATGATGGCTCTCCTTCATATTTGCCTCGACTTTAGATTAGGGTATTCCCTCACGCCAACCCCAACTACTCCCTCAGGAGATTGCTAAAACAAGTAAGTGGACCAAGTCCTCAAGCTAAAACCATCCTTATGAGTCTTTTGTGAATGGAGGCATATTTGGTAGTAGCATATGAGCTCCTGGCATACTTCATAACAACCATCCTGATGAGACTCTACATAGTGGAACTAAGATAAGGTAAGGACATACTCCTCATATGAGTGCTCTCCAAAAGAAAGATTGAAAACTATGCACATCTCATGAAGGCTATCTCAAGCTCCCTATGTGGAGTGAATAAGTGCCAAGTGCGGATCGTCTACTCCTATCTGTAAGAAATTTTGATAAGTAGTAGCGAGCCTATGTTGTGTAGCTCACATAGCTGGATAAAGACCCAAATGCCGTAAAGTCCCTTCATAATGGTCAAAACATGGCTCATCAACTTTACCCATTAGTTGTTTGGTGTGAAGAAGATCCATCCTTGTAAGCTTGACCATGGTATTCCGCATTAGCATCAATGAACCTATTTCTGAAGGTGCACATTCATGACATATCTTCATTAGAGGGAAACTCGTGGACAATACCTAGATTCATACCCTCGAGGCAGCTCGAACCAGCACTCTTGCAACCCACTGAAAAGAATCTACCCTTAGTAGTTGCTGAAGGGTAAAGAGGTGTAACATCCTAAGACATCATTCAAGGATAGTTGATGGGTTGAAAGTAGTACAGCGAAGGATGGCGTTCTAGGATGAGAGATAGAATCATGCTAATGGGTCAAAAGTAGCATAGCAAAGGATAGCTCTCTAGGACGAGAGATATAATCATACTTGTCTAATGGTGTATAACCAATGGGAACCCTAGTGAGGACCTAGCCATGTCGCTTGATCCCGAACAAATAAATAGGTTTTTGGAAGGTAGAGTGATTAAAAAGTGAGGACCTAGCCATGTCGCTTGATCCCGAACAAATAAATAGGTTTTTGGAAGGTAGAGTGATTAAAAACTGTGAGGGCATTCTCACTGATCATAGCACAGAGTTATAATGTGTTAGGATGCAACACTACTCTCTCCAACTCAGGATCATTGGTACCCAAAATTGACAAAGTACCGAAGTAGAAGTACTTGTGATTAGTCTTCTCTTCTTTGAACCCAGCTGCCGATCAGGATCGTGGGGTTTGTCAAAGAATGCCACTTGAAAAGATGAAAGAGTCTTAATCAATGCAAAAAGAGTGTTGAATCTTAACTTGGTGGGGGTATCTTCATTAAGATGTCAAAGCGTAGAGAGAAATAGATAGATAACTAACTCTGTGTAAATAGAAAGATGACAACTCGGCCTACAAAGAAACTATGTATGACATAACCCAGCATGAGAAATAAAATCAATACAAGCTCTGACCAAGCTGAAAAAAAGGCAAAAGAATGTAAGTGAGCTGAGTGCTGGCCCTGCCAGGGACCACTTCACGACAGTATAAAAATTTAAATAGAGGCTTACCCTTGTAGAAAGGGCATCTGTGTGGCTCATCTCCACCACTAGCAACTATATGCTCCTCGGTTGTGATTGATTGGCCAAGAGAAGGCATAGCTTGGCTCGTTCGAGAAGCCTGTGATCATTTAAGCATGCTTGCTCCATTGAGGATTGACAATAAAGATGAAAATCAAGGGTGGAAGATGTAGGATTTGTTAGGATCCTCTCAAAAAACATGCGCAGGGTTTTGGGGAGGAAAGTGAACAGTCCCCGCATCATTCCTCACCTAATTATAGGCCAACCCTCAAGCCACAGATTAATGAAACGTGGTGGATAGATCATCTTTAGATCAAAATGTGTGCCCCACGTCGCCTTGAATCTCACTCCTACTAAACAAATAGGAACAAACTCGGATGGTGACACATGACCTGTAATGTTAGAGAGCCTACGACTACAATAACCAGCTGGATGTGCCTAGGTGGTGATGTGTTCTAAATATAAATGTTTCAAGTGCACAATTTGTGTGTGCAACATGAAATTGTTGATCCCATGAGGAATGTGTGTTGTAAAAAAGATACTAAAATGGTTCTTGAATTGCAATAGAAAAGAGAAGGTAGAGATTGGTTTAAGTGTTAATTTGATGTAAATAAAAAGTTAAAGCAAGATGGAAATTAAAACCAAGAGAAAATAAATAAATAAAAGAGTTAAAGAAAATCTAGTTATAAAACTAAAATGAGAAATTGAATCTAGTAGCTAATCCTATTTAGATTTTAGAAGTACTCCCTTTTAATTCTCATGTCACTAGATGTCTTAAGCATAGATTATCAGTGATTTAAGAGAAGCATAACCTATTAAATTTATATTCAAGTAATATCATCATTCATGAATAGAAATAAAAAACTAGATAACTATTCTGGAATTTAAAAAGCATAAACTACCAAACTATTTACGATAAGTATAGCATATCAAAAAAAATTCTACCAATTATTATTCTAGTTGATTTTCCTAAGCATGATAAATTAAGCACAAAAAGAAAGCAATTCAAAAAACCAAAAATAAAAAATAAAAAATAAAACTAGCTTCCACTAGCATAATAAACTAGCAATCTCACCAACAACACCTATTTTCCATAAAATAAATGTATCATTGACAGGCTATCATCAAGGATACGCCAGCGGCATATGTCATGTCATCAATGATACATATCCTTGACAGCCTACACATTCTTGATGGGGCTGCCGTATGCATTCTTGATGGTGGCACCATCAAGGATGTCTATCCTTGACGGCAGTCTGTCAAGGATGGTATATACATCCTTGACAGTAGCTTTGTCAAGGATGTAAATTCCTAATAGCTGCCCATTAAGAATGTATATAACCTAAAAAAAAAGAATACCCAAATTTAAATATTTTCTTGTAAGTACAAATATCTTGTACACGATAACATTTCAATTGAAAATATAGAAAACCACATCAATGAACACAATATTCTCCTCGTAGGCTCATAATAGTCAAAAGAAACCACAATTTACATATACCAAAGACCTACTCATAGCCATTTGAAATATTTCATGACATTTAGAGAGAAATAAATACACTTTTTAGCTTGGGAATAGTAAAAGTAGTCTCTATTTCCTTTAGTTCAGCTAGTAGGTTGTAGAGAATCGTTTTTTTAATCATTTGAAAAATGAAAAAAAATCAAAAGTTTTGTAACTCTAGCTCTAACCCATGTTTCAATTGGGTAATTTTAAGTGTTAAATAGGAATAAATATGATAGGAGTTATAGAATGCAAAGGGACTTTGAAAGCCCTAAGTAAATCAATCCCTCATAGCTTCATGCATACAAACAAGAAAAAAAAAAGAAAAAAAAGGACCTGGAGAGTACAGAGAGAAGAAGAGGGAGGATTAAGCTTCAAAAGGTTAGTGATTCAATTTTATTTCTTTACTAATTAGTTATGAATAGTTGTAGAATGAAAAAACCTTCCCGGCCACCGGCGTTGATTCCGGCGACCTCGGGCCAAGCCTAGATCTAGGCTCTTGCTGGAGGTGGCTGCTTCAGTCACTTAACCCAAGCAAACCCATTTGAGCTCATAAGCAGTCAACAAAATGGAAGAGATAAGAGGAAGAAGAAAAGAAAATTTTTGCTAGACCCGTAGAAATACAGATAGGAATAAATGTGTAAAGCCTATAATGAAGTTAACATAAGCTATCTTTCTAAGCAACATATGCTATCTTTCGCCACAAAAAATAAGTCAAGATATATAATTATTAACATTTTTGTGATGATTTTTCGTATGTATCTTAAGCAGTGTCATAACATTAGGCAAACAAATTGATAACACTCCAGGACAGGTACATCATAAAATCTGCATCTAAAGACTTGCATCTAAAGACTTGAAGAAAACCCGAGATTAATATGATGGTTATTCTGCTTTTATGGATAGAACATCACAGTGAAGTTTTTGATTCTTATGTTTACAAAATACAAAGGTCTCTTGATGGATCTAAACTTGCTTCTGACTCTTTTGTTCCTTTCATACTCCCCACACCCGTCTTCATCGTATAGTTTCATGTGCAAAATCTTGAGCCATAACACCAGGATAAATTGTCTTGAAGTCACTAGACAAAAGCTTTTGTTCTGAATCTCAAATGGGCAATGATATCGATTTTTTTGGGAAAATACTCATAGCATCAATATTAAATATATTATTTAGAAATTAAGTGATTTTGTGAGATGAAAAAAATATGATGTGACAGTCCATAGAGGGTTGATTTTTTTGTTATCATATATAAGTATTAACATTTTTGTGTCCTGCTTAAGATTATCGATGAAGAAGCAACATATTCCTTAATGTCTTCTCATTTTAAGCAACATATGCTATCTTTCGCCACAAAAAATAAGTCAAGATTTATAAGTGTCAAAACATAAAAACTTTATAATATTTAAGTGACATTCATGATATAAGGCCTAGTTCAAAAACGGGTGCATAAGATGTCTACCACGGTCCACGGATTAGCGCACAATGTTGAGGGACAAGTCAAAGGGGTGCACAAGAGGTCTACCACGCACAATGTTGAGGGACGAGTCATTACTCATGCCCACAAGTCAAGACGGGCATCAAAGTGAAGTTCAAATTTATTTACAAGTTTGTCATTCAAATAGGGGTGGAAGTTAACCGAATAATTAATAAATAGTTCGGTTATTATTCGTCTTGATATTTGATCAAGTTCGATTCAGTAGTTCATCTAGTACTGAACAAATAATTTTCAGCGTTCGGCTTATAAAAGAATAGAATTTAACCAAATGTATGTTCGATTCGGTAGTTCATTGAACTTATTACAAAATAGGAACCAAACAGCCCCTAACCATTCGATAACTTTTTACATTTTAGTCCTATTCATTGAACTTATTACAAATATTACTTATCTAAATTTTTATTTACAAATGCCACCCATATAAATAGGTAGGAGTGGATTCTAGCTAGGGTTTTCAGTTTTCTCCCATCCGCCTCCTCCATCAGATCTGACTATCGGCTCCTCTCTCTCCCCCTCTCCCCTCCCTCCTCCTTCAAATCCGACTCCAAGCGGATTCTAGGTCTAGGGTTTTCACTGTTCTCCCTCGAAGTTTGTTGTTCATTCTCCCTCGAAGCTCGTCGTCCCTCGAATCTCGTCGTCGACTTTGAGATTCGTCGACTCCTCCCTTGAATCTCGTCGTCGACTCCGAGATTCGTCGACTCCTCCCTTGAATCTCTTCGTCGACTCCTCCCTCGAAGATCGTCATCCCTTGAAGCTCGTCGTCCCTCTCGGAGATCGTCGTTTACTCCTCCCTCGACTGTTCCCTCTCGAGTCATCAAAATGTAAGTTGAAGCTTAAAGTTACCATTATTCTTGATTTTTAATTTATACTAATTGCTAAAGATTACTTGTTTATGCCTTTTACAGATAATTTTGCACAACTTGATATCAAAACCATGAAACTTGATAATTTTGCACAACTTGTTTATGCCTTTTACAGATAATTTAACTAAACAAAGCAAATTCGAATTCTGAATATTACTCGAGTCAAATTCGAACACGAATACGAATAGTGCTATTTGAGCCGAATTTGAATTCGAAATAAGGCACTAATCGTTCAGATTCGATTCGTTTCCACCCCTACATTCAAATTCCTATAACGCATACCGTTGGATCTAATGGACGGTATTGATTGAAATGAGGAAATCGGAACGATTATACTCTAGGAGTCTCAGCAGCTGCCTGCAGCTTCAGGTCATTTCTCTCTATCATATCATCCAAAATTTTCTTTGTTCTCTATAATCTCACAAAGAACAAAATCATATTCTGGATTATTAATGAGAATTTGGCATGCAATTAGGGAGGATGGCTCTGTTCTTTGATGATGGATGATGTCGATGGTGATGAAATCAAGTTCTCGGATTGGGAGGTTTTGGAAATAATAAAAAGGTGATTTTCTTTGTTATTCTAAGATTGTTCAGATTCCAGTCTATCAATTCATTATAAGGGATAGGACATTATTTTTATTTGCATCTATTTATTGTTAGAATAGTATATACTGCCACTATAATAATCTGTGGTTAATTTCCTGTTATTATGGCATGTTTATGACTTTGGTTGATGGATTCACATGTTCTCTTTTCTATATTACTAGTACAGACATCCTTATTGATTGTTTTGAATTTTTTCCGTGGACGAACAAATGGTGGTGACACAAGAAAAAGTTGTCATAGAAGACTATTTAATTAATCGAAAGATTTTCATGTTGACCTATTAAACTAGAAAAGTTGTTGTTAGGCCCAAGTTGTATTTAAAAAGGATACAAATAAAATTTAGAAAACCCCTAGAAACTAGAAATATTAGTGTTATACCCTGATGTTTGTATAAAACATCTAGCTGAATTGAACGAGGTATTCAATGTATATACTTTTGGGTTTTCAGGTTTTCATTATCCACTGATGTTTGAGTAATACTTGGTTACAAATAGTTGAAGTGTACGAGCTTCAATAACAAAAGTTATTACCATTCTGTGCAGAGTGTAATAGCCTTATGAATTGCTTCTTGATGGCATTGGCTGAGGCACAAGAACGGAAAAAATTGCCTATACAACAAGAGAAGATACGAAGTTTCGAAATCAAAGAAGATTTAATGAAGTCGCTGGAGAGCATGGAATCTGAAGGTGTTACATTTAAAGAGTGTTTGAATTGTAAATATTTTGTACCATGCTAGGAGAGCATGGAATCTGAAGGTGTTACATTTAAAGAGTGTTTGAATTGTAAATATTTTGTACCATGCTAGAAAAAATTGCCTATACAACAAGAGAAGATATGAAGTTTCGAAATCAAAGAAGATTTAATGAAGTCGCTGGAGAGAATGGAATCTGAAGGTGTTACATTTAAAGAGTGTTTGAATTGTAAATATTTTGTACCATGCTAGGATCATTTTATACCACGGATAATATAGTTGACTTCCTCTGATTAGAAGAACAATTTTTTTTTCTTTTATACCATGCTAGGATCATTTTATACCATGGATGCGATCAATTTTTAGTCTGACCATATGTACCTAGTCTTGGAGATGTTCTAAACAGTAAAAGATTAAATGAGATCTCTTGTCTTTTGGCTAATTTGACGTATGTGTTCATGCACTTTGTTTGTTGTACAATCTTTCACTGTTTACGCCAACAAGGTAAAAGGTTAAAGTGTGTATGTGTGTCTAAGTGGGATGGATAGTTACAGTTCATCCAAATTATGTCCTATGTAAAAGAGCTATGGGATTTTGCATCGTTTAGTAATTCTTTGCTAAAAATCAGAGAGTATGGACATGGTTTCTTTGCTAAAATCTTTTGCTAAAAACCAGCTTAGATAAGGCTGGACTGGAGTTCTTCCCATGTACTTGACTTTGAAGTTATTCTTTTTATCTTTATATCACAGCCAGAGTTGGGTATCCAAAAGATTTTAATTGTAGATTGGAATGTACATCAATGGCACGCAAAAAGCATTTTATAGTGACCCTCTGGTTTTGTTCTTCTCCATACACAGGTACCAATTTTGGTTGTTGTTTCTTAATTTTTATCCACATAAATTTTCTTTTCTTGTTATCATGTTTTTTCCTTTTAACTTTCTTGTTGATTCCAATTCTCATAGTATATGCTAAGACTTCTTTTTAATGCCATGAAGATGAATTCATTTAAGTTTCAAAGGCAGCAGTTGACCTGGAATATTGTTGTTCAGTTGTATAAATTGTTTGTAATTTGCATAAATATGGAAGAAAAAATGGAAAAGGGAAAACTTATGGAAACAATTAATCATGTTTAATCGCTCCTGTGAGCAGTCCATGGAATCTTGATGTACTGGTGAGAGATATCATTATATATGTCCCTTTTAATTGATTTTGGAAGTTTCTATCCAGCTGGTGGTGGCGATGGTTCTACTTGTATGATTGAGGAAGATCTAGGAATGGGATGTAATATAAATGTTCCTTGGGAACATGGAAAATGTGGTGATGCTGATTACATTGCTGTCTGGAATCATACACTAATTCCTGTGGCTGAAGCTTGTAATCCGGACATGATTCTAACCGTTCATTCATTATGTATATCTATTTTGATTGAACCAAATAATTTAGGAGAAATAACCTAGTGGTAGGTGCTTGGGAGAATGAACAAGAGGTCTCTCCGGTTTGAATCCTACAACCACACTAAATATTTACAGTCTTTTGGGGCGCTTGGAACCTTTGAATTCTAATAATTTTTTTTGTTTGCTTATTTTTTTCTTTGAATTCTAATTTGGGGGCCTTTGAATTCTAATATTTTTTTTGTTTGCTTTTTTTTTCTTTGAATTCTAATTTGGGGCCTTTGAATTCTAATAATTTTTTTTGTTCGCTTATTTTTTTCTTTGAATTCTAATTTGAAGCCTATTTGGGTGGAAAGTCGATCTCATTGAAGAATTCATTACAACTTTAAACGTTACAATAAATTCAAGAAATTAGCTTTTTTATAAGACTTTCAATCAACAATTATAACTTTCTTCCAAACTACACACAATAGTAGTTCTAACTCCTATTGCTTGTGCGGGATCGTTGCCGGTGCCTGGGTTTATCCGTGGACCGCCTACAGATCAGATCCGGTTAGTAGAAGAATTGATCAGAGCTCCTATTTCATAAAGGAAGTATTCGCTTGAAGCACTGACATCGACCAAGCGAAATCAGTAGCTCTTCTCGAGATTAAGACTAAGCCTAATCTTAAGGAACAAACGTGGGAAACAGGTTCAGATCCTTCGAAAGCCTTCCTCTTTTTGCTGAAGTTTGTCGGGATCTGACTCGCCTTCGCTGAAAATTCGTGCTCCTTTGACTCCTCAATCCAGCAGCACTTCGTCCTCTCGATAAAATTCCAGATCAGTAAAATGGAGGTCTTAGCCTCATATTTATAGGGCTTCGGATGCGGGTATTCGGATGAGAATGAGAGATTTGACCTTATCTTCAGTCAATAACGACCTAACCATGTTTGTGGATGATATTAAGTCAGTTGGGAACCCCTGGAATAGATAAATCCTGCGGAAACCGCTTAACAACTGTCGAAAACGCGTTTTGGGGTCGAAGCTGCGCGACGGTCGCTGGTGACCCGCGTGGGCGCGGGTCACCTCTTGGTGACTCGC